TCTAAATTCAGTAGATTGAGCAGCCACTAGATTTAATTATTCCTTTGCTCAGTTGCTGACCAATCCGGTAAAGGGGAAGTGATCAATCAGATTGCTTTATCAGCAATCTGATATTCTTTTGGATTAAATAGTGTTTAACCAGATGGTTTTGATAATACTTTACGCACCAATTAAAACTAAATTATTGAGCTATATTTTACAAAAAAAAATAAAAAAATATGCTGTATTAAAATTTGTTGTACATAATGTGCTAATGTGTTTCCAAATTTCAATTCCAACACTTGTCATTTATAATACAATAGAAGTACGGTTTTTGTGTACTGAAAATATTTGTATAAAATATTTAGATGCTGCCTAAATTTGTGTCTCATTTAATCCCAGTATGTATAGGTAGTATTATTATGTATCTACATTATATTTTATTATAACTTTTAATCTAATGTTTTATACAAAATACTTATAGAGTTCGATAAAAATAATGATAAATGATAAGAATAAAATATTGGTGATTATGGCCATTGGGTAACTTCAAATAATGGTATTAACTAATATGTTCCAACTGAATAACAAAAAGATTGTTTCTAAACTCTATCAATCTGCAGAGCAACTCGCTGAATTAGCAGACTGATTTAGGAACACACAGGAAATTTGCCGACCCTTGGCTTATACCCTCGACCAGTGTCCATGGCTCAGTACCAAAAAATTGAAAATTATAATATCAAAAAAATAGCATCTACGTTGTAAAGATAATGTTCTTATCTTAAAGTTCGATAATAGTTCGTTCATTCGTTCATTCATTCTAATACATATAACTAATAACACAAAATTGTTCTTGCTGAACCCAAATTTACACGACGGATACAACAACTACGGGTTACCATATCGTCTTATGACCTGATTTATGTACAATAAAAATAAAATTGGGCTTAGCATCACACTTACGCTACCTAGAGGAATAATGAACTCGATAGTATTTTCTTGGCTAAAAACATAATAAAAATATAAACAGGTGTAACTATAAGTTCAATGGTACATTTAACTAATTTAATCAATACTTTATCAAGACCTGGCGCCGTGTCATCTTTACAATATCTTACAATTTTGACTACTTCCGAGATTTCAATTTTCTTAGAAAACAAACTATCAAATGAAATATTATTATTATTATTAAGCTTAATAAATTAAATAGTTGTATTAATATGATATATTTAGACTAAATATTATTTTGGTTTATAACTTTGTCTTTTATACATATAATCCTACTTAAGTTTAAATTTTCTAGGTACTTTTCTACCTAATTTACGTCTAAAGTAACATAAAAATAGGTAGGTGCCTAATTAAAAAAAAAATCATGGTTTATTATGTTATGAGTGATGGGTAGGAATAACAGTGTACTTAATACTTCTTAGAAATTAAAATATAATTACATAATAAGAAAAAATAAATTGTAAATTTCGCATCGTGAATTCGTGAATTGATGACTGTTTAGTTATGTGACGTGCACATATTTATGTAAATGGGGGGGGATCAGTAGCGACTAATGTCCGAGAATCGTTTTTTTTTTAAATCTAAACATACACAATTGTGTACATTATGTAGAAATTAAGGTTACATAAGGCAATAGGGGGATCAAACGCCTTAATCCCCTCTTGTATATGTCCTTGACTGTGGTAGGTCACATAAGGGTTTAATTTAGTAATTTTATTTTTTTAAAGTTAATTTTTTTTAAGTTTAAGTTGAAAACAATGATAATATTTAATGAATTCAAATGCAGATTCTCAGTAAAAAATAGGTACTTAGGTATAGTATACAATTTAAATGTTAATAGTTACCAAGTTTAATTTCTTCTTGTTCTAACAAAATTAATAATGTTTACGATTTGTAGAGTATCCAGTTTTATAATACGATAATTATAATATAAGTCTAATATTTAATAACTATTAAAGTACTATGTTTGGGTTCAATCACGTACCTTTAATGTAGCTTAAGCGTTTTCATACTTATCCAAAAATGGTTGATTTAATTTTTTAATATGTTGCTATTCATCAATAAATCATTACTAAAATCATTGTTTTCAGTTTTAAAATAATAATCAAACTAGCTTGCCTGTGGTCAAATCTAAAAGAAAATAGGTATAGATTTCATTACAATATGTGAAGTATGTGTTCGCTTCTGCAGATTTTAAAATATTTAAATTTTGTGTAGTGATTGATAATTGCATTAGGTATACATGTATAGTTTTTCACATCCGAAAATTCCTCTCTAATATGCGTTTTTATATTATTAAACTTTTTGCTCTATGTTTTAAAAAATAAAAAGGGCTAAGAATAAGCGTAAAATGTATATATATATATTTGTAATTAAACATAATATAATCGCATAGATTAAAGAAACATTTTTTTCCCCGAGTACATCTTGTAATCCTATAAAGTCTAAAGTAAAACCATGTAGGAATTATTAAACATTGCATTTAATGGATCTCAAATGTTAAACTCTGAACTAAATGTATAAACTTTGTAGCGTTTGGTTAAATTGGATAAGCTTCTAGTTATATATATAGTATTATAATGTATTAATGTTTGTGCTTTTCTGCCAAGTATAAGCTGTAGACGAAAAATAATGAAAATTAATAATATATAGGAATAACCATAAAACAAGTTTATCATGAAATTGATAAAAGTTTAAAGATACACATCAATATTTCACTATTTTTAATTAAAAAAATTGCATGTCATTTGCGTGAATATTTTTAGGCACAATGGTTTTAACTTCAACTTATATTTATAATTTTAAAATGTAAATACTTTTATTTTTAAATAGTTATAGTTGATAATTTATGGATGTTTATACGTTTTATTTTTAAATAGTATCAGATGCTATTATTTCAAATTATTAGACCTAATTCATTTGAAATAAGAATTGAAAGACTAATTCATACAATAAAAAAAAAAAAAAAACGACTTTGAATAATGTTCTCGGTTAATTATAGTTTTTATTAAAATGTTTTTAAATTAAAGTTTTTACTTAAAAATATCCAAAATTACACGTTTGAAAATTGAATCAGTATATAAGTTAGGCATATCTATTATGCATAGCAAATTATAATAATAGTATTTTTTAGCTATTTGCAGTATTGCACTGAGTGCCATTAACGTGTTTTATCTACCAATATGTGTTTGTACTACCTCGGTTTAATGTGTTCCATCTGAAAAAAACTGCACGAGTGTTCAGCAAAAATAGTGTATGCAACAGTTTTTACAAACGGTTGTTATCACTATACTGCTAAAAATTGATAAATAAATATTAAATATGCAATAGATTGTATTATATTATACGTTATAATGTTATAACTTCTATAATTATAATAATAAATTAAAACCAGCAGTTTTAAATGATTTTTGTATAATAAAATTATTTTTATTACCAATAATTACAAGTGCTACAAGATAACGAATTTTCATGTTCTACTCTGAGTAAAACTGATGAGAAACTCACACCGTGCTAGTGGAAATTGTTTAAAAGGAGTTTTGGGATGGTGGAAAACGCTATAATAATTTTCTTTGAATTTTTACATTTCAGTTTAATTCGAATTTAAATTTGTATGCAAATAATTGTTAGTTTCCGATTATTTCATAGCCTCAACTTGTGCTTTATGCCTTGTAGTTAACTTCATGAAAAGTTTAAGTTTTATAAAGTTAAACTATAAAATATAGAAAATTGGCAGTGTTAAACATATCCCTTTGGTATCTACCTAGCCTAAAAATTAGTAAATAAATTTACTTTGTAAAGTGTATTTGTGTAGTATTGTTATTAGTAAATTTACTATCTACTTTCGACACCTAATTTAATTTATAGAAGTAAACTAATGTGTATAATTTAAAATTCATTGTATAGACCGCTATAATGGGATATTTTAATAAAAAGTAAATTTTCTTGATCGAGACTTTTAGAAATGTAAATTAATTTTAAATATCATATGTTTAAATTTTAGTTATTATATATTATACCTATTGTATTTATATGTATACTTGCATTATTGGTCATTATTTTATACTATAACCGTATTGTCCGTATTGATCTGCATAGAGTTATAATAATTATAGTTGTTTTTAAAATGATTTAAAATATACACAAAAATAAACAACGCAATACATAAAAGGATTTTGCCAAAGAGGGAGATATTTTAAATATTGTAGGTAATATAAATGATATGCTAAAAAAGAAGATCAATTTTTAATTTATATATTTTTATACGTAATATATAATTTATTCTACCATGAAACATCAATGAAATAAAATAACTAAGTTTTATAGTAATTAAGATTAATTTATGTACTATTCTAACTTCCTTCATATTAAAGTAGTTCAGATATAGGTTTCGACATTTTGTTTTCAACAAGGAAATGTACTTACATTCGTTTAGATTTTTTGACATATGAACTTGGTACCAATACATTTTTGATTTTTCTGTCTAAAAATTTGAATTAAAAAAATACGAATATACTTTGCACGTGGGTGGGTCACTGTTGTAGGTGAGAAATTGGGATTAGCTTCCCAATTTCTACTACCGTAGAGGGGAAATTTAATGTATATATAAACGTAACGATTAATCAAAAAAACTAATAAAAAAACGATTCTGAGGGAAGTTAAATTGATAATGTTGCTTTGTCAACAATATACATATATATATATATAATATTATGGTAAAATAATTACATATGCATATATACCGTGTGTCCCGTTTTAAATGTACCACTAAATATCTCAGCCCCATAATCTTAGATTGAAATACGGTTTGCTGCAATAACTAAGGGGTACTGAAGTACACATTTAAGGACAAATTTCAAATTTTTAACTCTTGTAGTATGCGCACGCGCAATAAAAACTTTTTTTTTTTAATTGCAACACCTATTTTTGTCACCGGATATGGATATATTATTTTATTTTAAGTAATTTTGATCCATTGACCATAGTTCTAAACCTAAAATTGAATGAGNTTATTATCTAATAAAATGTTCAAAATTTCCTCCGTTTTTTTCTAAACACAATTCCAGTCGACGACTCACTTCTCTATAGGTTGCTGCCAAAATTTGTTCTTTTGTTAATTGTCTGCACGCTACCGTTATTTTATTTATTAAATCCTGTAAGTTTGCTGGTGGTTCTGCATAAACAGCAGTCTTTAAATGGCCCCATAAAATAAAATCTAATGGTGTTAGATCAGGTGACCGTGGGGGCCATTTCACTGGCCCGTGAGTTCCCATCCATCGATTTCCAAACATTTCATTTAATTGTAATTTTACAATAATGGCATTATGAGCGGGTGCTCCATCCTGTTGAAAAAATAAGTTTTGACGAAGTAATAAAGGGGCATCTTCCAATATCGTCAGTAGCAAAGTTCAGAAATCTGAATAACGTCTTCTATTAAGAGTACCGTCATAAAAATGTGGACCTATTAAATTTCCTCCTAATAATCCGCACCACACATTTGTGCCCCATACTGTTTGATAATTTGTATCAACTGCCCATCATGGATTTCCGTTTGACCAATAACGGTTATTCTGCTTATTTAAAACACCATTATTGGTAAACTTTGATTCATCGGTCCATAAAATGTAATTTAAAAATAATGGGTCGTTCTTTGTACATGTTGTTATCCATGCGATAAATGTTAATCTACGTTCATTATCACCTTGGCGTAAATTTTGAACTAGATCTGCCCTAAGTTACATCCTTATGTAACTTGTATTTTTTGAATATTTTGTATAATTAATTAAATTTAAATTAGCTATAGAGTTTTTTAGGTAATTTTGTATTAAATTATTTAAATGCATTTCATTTTAGTTTAAAAATGGTTTACTTTTGTATCAAATTCAAGCGTGTNATGTTTTTGGTAAAATCGAAAAAATTTAATTATTTTAAAATTTCAAAAAGCTGTAACTCATTCAATTTTAGGTTTAGAACTATGGTCAATGGATCAAAATTACTTAAAATAAAATAATCTATCCATATCCGGTGACAAAAATAGGTGTTGCAATTTAAAAAAAAAGTTTGTATTGCGCATGCGCATACTACAAGAGTTAAAAATTTGAAATCTGTCCTTAAATGTGTACTTCAGTACACCTTAGCTATTACAGCAAACCGTATTTAAATCTAAGACTATCGGGCTGAGATATTTAATGGTACATTTAAAACGGGACACACGGTATATTATTTTCATTAATAATTTTCAGCCGTTTTTTACTGTTTACCCTTTATTGAGAAGACTCCTGTGAAAATCAAACAGTTACCTCTTTAAGCTACCTCTTTAGTTCGATTTACTTTCAGAAAAAGTGCTATAATTGTAAATTGGAACAAAATTGCTGGTATAAAAGCTTTCCACAAAAAAAAAATAAGTAAACATCATTGTAAAACCAAAACATTCTTCACTCCACTCAGAATCTGAAAATAGGTATTTGTATAAATAACAGATACATAATATATATAATGTATACTAATATATCATAATGTATATATCTCCTTTATCTTCTCCCTTAAGTACGTCAATGGTTTCCAAATATTTGAGTAGAAAGAAACAAATTAAATACCTACCTACGTTTTATATTATTTATATCAGTGTTCCACAAAAGGGGGGGGGGAAGGAGGTTCAATCCTCTTTCCTAAAATGTTTTCGCTACATTTTTTTTAAATCAAGTTTTATATTCAACAACATTATGTATTTTATCACAGAATTAAATAAAATACAATTTTATCAAAAATCATTTATTCAGTAATAATATTGATAGTACTGTATTTACAATACGTGCTATCTCCTCTTTAAGAAATTATTATAAACAAAACCCCTCCCAAAAAAATGCCTGCGTGTGCTACTGGGTTATATAGATGTTTAAATAATTTCAATATTGTGTATGTTCTGTGTTAGCAGAAATCTTTGTTCTGTAGTTACCCAGTGTACCTACTACCTATACATGTAGAGCAGTTTTTTTAATAAATAGTTTATTCACAGTTTAATATTCACTTAAATAGTATTATTATGTACGTATAGGAAAAATGGAAAACATTATTGTGGCGGTAGCCCACATTGTTGTATATATGAACTTAAACGTTAATAATAAAGTAGTAATGCGTTGTTCAATATTTCAAAAGATACCTATATCATATTTATCACATAATAATTAGGTAGGTAGGTCGTATTAATTTTGTGTTTTATAAATATTAAACATTTAAATTTTAAACCCTCAAACATTTTTTTTCGATACCAATTAATGAAGAAGACCGGAAGTGTCGGCATTATATCTATAGGAAATATTGCTAAATTCATCATTGTCTGAAATTCATGTCCATTAACGTTATTTCCTATAGTCAATATATCCCTATCCTATAACTAATTCGCTTAATTTAATCGGAAATATCGTATTGACCATATTATAGTAGGTATTAACGTTAATCCCAGAGTTAATTTACGTCATTGACGGTAGCATAATATTGTATACATAGGTACTTATGCCATCGACATTTAAAGTATGTAATAATTATATTAAGCAATTACCTATTAATAAATTTAATTTTTACAGTGAATACCATAAAATATATTACTTACTTTTGTATGATTAATAAAAATATTTTTTACTATTTTAAATTTAAATGGGTAACTATCATTGAAATAAAATATCCTTGGTAATCATCAAGATATTTGATCAATATCTGGTTAACTCATTATAAATGTATACAGACATACAGTATGAATACTCCAGTTTTTATTTTTGTTTTAAATATATTATTTATATTAGTGAGTATCGGCATAAACCGATTTCGTATTGAAGATATCTGAATATCGGATATCAATTTTCTTTTCGAAACCAAAATTGGATCCGATATTTTCGAAACAATATTTTTTTTGATAAAAAAAATGTTTATTTCCAATAAACATCTAATTTCGATATTAAAATATGAAAAAACCGTTTCAAAGTTCAAGTATCAAATGTTACCAGCTGTTAAGCGGTCCATGTTTGAGTTTTTAGTTTAATAATATAAATCAAAGAATGATTGTAAATAATATAGTGTTTAAAAAATTAACATGATCAATATTAGTAAATATTGGGTATAGGTTTTTTTTTTTTAATCGGTTAATCTCAATATCGGCTCACCGTTTTTGATTTAAAGTATCGGATCGGTTATAGGTTTCATTTCGATAGCAAATATTTGAATATCAGGTATTGGAAAAAAGTTATATCGACTCACAACGGTGTTTTAATGATACTTGTGTGAATAATATTTTTTTGACATATTTTATTGTTCATTTGGGTTCTAGTGAAACATTTAATTTTAATTTTAGCTTTCGTTTAGATTGCTTTCATACTATGCTTTATGGTTATTTGTTCAAGAAACTTAAATGTTCACTATCTATACAAAATATCTTAGTAATTTTATTAAGGCCGATATACGTAAGACTTCATTCATTAAATTGCGTAATTTTTGACAAGCCTGTTTTGAAACATTTTTTCTGTACATTATCGATTTAGTTCAAATGTTATAACTTATAAACTATTATGTATTGCTAATTTAAATGACTCGGATTATTTAACATGGATAATATGATATTATAATTCGTATAATGTATATAGAATCTATAAATAATCTATATGGCATCATATAACTTTGTAATCTTATTTAACTGTTCATTTTTGAACATTATAAAGTTAAGAAATATTATTAGTTGTTATAAAATAAATGATGATGTGTAGATGATTTTAAGTACTTATTTAACATAACCACTAAAAAAATAAATAAATTATATAAACTGTTCTAATCAAACAAATATTGTTTATAAAATATAGTGTTTACTCATCAATAATATCCGAATATTAAGTTTATCCGCCTTGAAAGTTGTGTTGAAAAGAATTGAATGTCTAATCAGAATAAACACATGGATAATACCTATTCTCTACTCTCCTCTATTTCATAGTCACGAAGAAAAATATTATTACAATTTTATCTTTTGGATAGAAAAAAGTTTTATTTTTGTCCACGTAGTGTGTAATAACCAACACTTGATAAATATTCATAAAATTAAATTAACTTTTAGAATATAAAAATGCATTGCTATAAATTATAGGTTGGTAGTTTCCTTCAACTGTAAAGATTACAAATTACCTTACAAAATCTAAAAAAAAACTACTTTTCTCAGTAAAATTTTGTCGTAAAATTGCCGCCCCTAAAAATTTGCCACCCTAGGCAACTGTTTATTTTGCTTGACGCTAAATCCACCACTATATATCGTTATACATTGGTGTGTAGTAATACGAAAATAAGGCGGGGAGTGCCTAGTTATGTAAAATCGATTTACACGTATAAATTAATTATAAATTTGATTACCTTTCTTCTTCAGGCGGCAAATTGATATGTTGAATTTGACAAAGGTGACCGTAGTGAATAAAAAGATTTTTAATGTAACAATTGTTTTTTATTTATTAATTAATTTTTTTTTAAAAATATAAAGCACTTTTCTAGGTTCCCGTGCTTTTGTCAGAATCTCTGCGTAGTCTTTTACACTCGCTTGTGATCATCTGTCCAAAAGCAACGGGAACAATACATACNTAATACTAACAACTTAATCTAATAATTAATGGCTACTAATTATTATAATTATTTTACAATATTGATTATATAATTTATTTTAATTATATATGATAGCTTAAGTATTATCTCCTTACGATGAGTAAATATCGTACTAAAATATATGTTTTTTGATAATAAAAAAGAATGGAATCGGATGTAAATGTTTTACTATCATTCCTGTTATTAATTGTTTGATTTATTAACATTACATAATATTTTATTTTACATAATGTATGATAGCTTAAATAGCATATCATTACAGGTGTACACTTACGTTTCGTTATAAAAATTGTTATATCACAGTGTTTTTTAATTTCTTAGTTTTTTCTCTTTAAAAAATTGTTAAAATTTTAAATTATGTAGTTTAATTAAAAATTTTATGATAAAACAAAGAAATTAAATGTATTAAGTGATAATAATGTAATAAGTAGAACTGAATGATAAACTGTAATTTAAAATTTTTTCTCCCTAACTACTATAGCTGTTGTTCATTTGGAGAATATGTTTTATTTGGATTAATGGTTGTGATGGTAGTAGTTTTTCTGACATATATAGCTATAGAGCGCACTGTCTTGAAACAGTGGCCATAAAATATTTGTGATCTTAATGTACGAGTACACAACACTGCACTCAGTAATAAAGAGTGTTGAAAACCAATGAAATGCTTTTGGTTTGCTCTACAAAAATAGTTAATAACTTGTCGTCTAAACTGGAAAAACAAGAATACCTACCATATTTATATATTTTTAAATTTGTCAAGGATATATATTTTTTTTTATTTTTTAAGTTACCGTTTGTGGGTTTAATATAGTTAGCACTGTTATCCTTATCAGTTTTTATATAGGATTTTATATACTGTCAATTAAGTATCAAATATGATTTAGTAATCATTGATATGATGACATTTAGGGTTGAATTTTTTTTTTTTTAAAAAGCTGTTTTTATATGGAATTCACATTATTGTTGGGATAAAATACAAAAAACCAGTATGTTATTATAATTATCTTTAAAGATATTTCTAACCAATTTTAAATAATTATACACATAGTACCTATACAACATATTAAATATTATAATAAATATATATATATAATTAAAGTTCGTATTCTCTAACAAAAATTAGGTACCTATTATATTATCAGGCAAGTATGGTGTGCCTGTAGGACAGATGTCCTACAATGTTATCCTTATGTTAATAATTCTGTAAATATTCATATTTTTTGTCAAACGGGTTTTTTGGGAGGGGCACATGTATGTAGAGGAGAATTAAATTTGTATGTTTATCCCTTTTAACTGTGGAATAAATACCTTTTTATTTTTTCACTTTTCAAAATGTTTAAATATTTTTATGTATTATACATTCATATATGATCAATAGTTTCTTAGTAACAGCAGTTTTAATTTCTAGAAAATTAGCGTGAAAACAATTAATTTTTGAAAGGAATCATAATCAGCATGGTAATTCATTATCTTCTACTTTGAAAATTTGAAGAAGTGAAAAATAATAATAAATTTGGTGATTAAAGGATGAAAATAAAACTTAATTTTTTTTTATATTTATGTCCCTCTTGCACAAAACTCGACTGAAAAAAAAATGAATATTGACAGAGTTTATTAGCATAAGGATAACACTGTAGGACACCCTGTATTACAAATATATGCCAATTTTATCAATTAGTTAGTTTTCAAATAATTAGTTCAGTTTTCGGTAGACAGTTTTAACTGGTTTCAATAATTAATATATTGTTTACTTAATAGTAGGTAATTAAGATTTAATTTAGACGTTTAATTAAAGTTAGATTTAAATATATATTTGTGTTACACATAGTAGTAACCAATTAGTAGTTTCAATTAAAATTAAAATTAAATTCAGGTTATTTTAACCTTTATTTACTAAATAAAAGGTTATTTACTAAAAATACTTACAATCTAAAACTGAAGCGGCCTGAAATACTTACATTGCAAGTACCTATTCTTTGATAAAAAAAAACAATTATGAATGGAGATCAAAGTTCTAAATTCTTTTTTCAATATTTTAAGTTTTTGTCAATTTACTTGACCAAAAGTTGATGAGGATTCCCACACATAATCCACAGCAGCAAAGGCACTAATCCAAATAATGAATTAAATGGATCATGAATCATCTCTTCGTTCTTTTTCTTCTCAACAGTCAAACACTGATTAAACTTAATTGTCATTTGATTTCTACCGACCACCAACACTCATTTTCAACTAGTGATCAACTTAATATAACACCTTTCTAACTTTATCTCCCATCTAAGGCCCATCAATTTTCCACCAGAATCTTAAAATCTACTATCAAAATATGCGTGGTTCTAAGACCAAGCTGTTGAATCTCAAATGTTCCCTTCTTATGATACTTTCTAATAATATTATTATTTTTAAGAAAACCTGGTTACTCCTGACATTTATGATGCTAAGTTTGGTTTCATCAATTTCAACATTTTTAGATTTTATAGGAATCTTAGTAATAGTTTCCAATTAACGATATGATTCGAAAACCAATATTTAACGTACCTCCATTGATTCTAAACCTAGCGATAACGACTCCATCTCAAATTTTTTCAACTCCTTCAATTGGGAGACCACTTGTTCAAGCTACTTTATCAATGATGTAGTTACAGTATTTAGTGACGAACTACTAAAATCTAATCACATTTATTTTTCCCATCGAAATCCCCATGGTGAGTGTCCCCTGATCTGAAAAGTCTGATATACTAGAAAAAACTAGCGCACAAAGTTTATAAGCAATCCAATTTGGCTCTTGATTATCTGTCTTCTTTGAACTCCATACCAGATGCAAGAGCCTATCCTTACAGATCTTTTATAACTAACACTGAACGCTTCGAATGCAATCGTTTATATTTTATGAATTATTATAAAAATTGCTCGGAAAATCAAAAAAAAAAAACGATTTTCTTACTCACCAATTGAATTAAAAGTGCAACAAGAATGTTCCCTTGTTGTTTTTTTATTAAAGTAAGATTTCTGGTAGACATTTTTGTACACAGTATACAAATAAATGCAATTAAAAAATAATCATTATAAAACCTATTCGTTTATCGCTACGCTCAGAATCTGAAAATAACAAGTTTCATATAAATATTATACGATTATTGGCGTTTCATTTTTATTTTTTAATGTGAGGTCTATAAAAACAATTTTTTAAAAAAATCTGTTAATTTATAAATTATTACCGTCTTGCATATGCAATATGTGTAATCTTGATCTGTTGTTCCTATTAATTTAATTAAAACATAACAACAATTCATTCTAGAGATTATATTATGTAATAGATATTATTTACTATAATACCCGTTGATATAATAATACTAGGTTTTGTACATATGATAAACGAAAGATTATTAGGTAACTGCAAATAATACTTGAATAAATATAAACTTTTGTGGTTGTTAAACTTATGTCTTGTAGTATTTATTTTATATTACATATCAAATTCAAAATTGTATATATTATAAAATGATAAATATTAAGTTAAATAAGTCAGGTATGTATTACATTTGGATATTTGATTTTCCATATTTAAACATAAATACTACACATAATATAATTTTGTTCAATGTTTTATCATTTTGTCATTTTGTTCAATAAATATTTTTAACGTTTATTATTTTGGGTTCTTTATCGTCCTAAGTAATTATTCGAATAGATTCCTAATTCCCAAAGTTATTAGAAGTCATAACTAATAAGGTATCTAGTTGAATAAGTATAATAAAAATACATAAATTACCGAGTAAATCAGGTAGGTACTAAATAATATAAGGTTAGATTCGACAAATAAGTGCACAAATAAATAAAAACAAATTATAATTCTGAATGGAAAAAGGTATCAAATAAATACAAATTTTATTAATAAAATATAAAGTTTCTTATACAGGGTTTCCTACGAAGATATACCCATTGAAATATCTCCTGAGATAATAAAGATAATCAAATTTTGGTTTTATATTACTCACAGGGATAAAGACTACAAATATTTATACTTGAATTAAATTTTTATTTTTAAATAATATAATAAAAAAAAATAACTTTTTATTTTGTAATCATGAACAATTTGAAGATAGTAATTTAATACATTTTATTGTTTTCTAGAAATTTTGATGTTCAACATTTTATTTTCATTATTTTGGTGATTTTTTTAAAGTTCAGAGTAAAGATGTGTACAGTAAATTATTCATAATAATACTAGTCGATTAGCAAATACGATTACAGCCTGCTACATAATTATAGGTAATTTAAATAATAATTAATATAACTTAATTATTACTACTATGGCTAATATTGACTGTACACTTTTTTTTCTCTGAAATTTAAAAAATCACAAATTTAATGAAAATGAAGAGTTAAAACGTCTAGATTTTCCGAAGAATAAATTCTATAAAATGGCTATTTTAAACTGGTTCAAAAATAATAAAATAAAATAATTTTTTACTAAAACTTAAAAATGTAATTTAAGTATTTATAGTTCTTATTCTCGTAAGTAATAAAAAAAAAAATATAGCTTTTAATTATCTTTATTATTTCAGAAGATATTGAGATGGGTATAAAAGATATGTGTATATATCTTCGTAGGATATTCTGTATAATATAGTATTAGACATACATCCGTTTATATATATATAAAAAGAGAAAGAAGATAGATTGGTTACAGTGGTTTTTTTTATGATTACTATCATCAGGTACTATCTCCGACTTAATAGAAAACAAAAAAAACCAAACATATTTAGATTTCATTTTAATATTATAACTTACTATAGATAATAATAAACTTGATAATACACTTTGTTTTTACTTATTAATGATAGGTTTGAATTTGCATGAGACATTGCGTATGAAATATTGTGTTTTATACTTTGATGGCCTATACAATTATATTTTACTTCACGACTTCGCCTGAGCGTAGTTTTAAAAAAAATATGAAATCATACGAATCTACATACATTAGAGTCTTGTATCCCCACCCTCTGATTATTGAAAAACGCGTGACATGCGAATATTTAGGGGAATATTTGAAATAACTTTTTAAAAAAATAATTATAAAATATATGTTTTAAAACACGATGGGATGCCGGGGCACACATCGTAAAATAATTATCGTTAAATAATAAATAGCTAAAAATATTATCAATTTCATCTTCTAATTAAGGGCTACATTTAAACATTAAATTTTAAACCAGAAATAACTCATCTTTATGTATCTAGCAGCAAAATCAAAGGATTTTAGTATAAATTTACGATAGCCTTTAGATACCCCCTTAATTCGGTCCTGTCGCTAAATTGGTTCTTAACTGACGTCCCCTACCTATAAACTACTTACCTACCAAATATCAACTTCATATAGATCAAGTACTTTTCGAAATTTCTTGTTAAGTTAATGAGTGAGTTATTTAATGAGTTATATATGTATATATAGATTTATTACTATTCTCATTGTTGACGTCACTTCACTAATAATTCTTATTCACTACTATGTTAAGTTTTATCATGTATGTATAATGAAAAATAACCTAAAAAGCCGCTCTAATAAATAAAATAAACAAATTGTTAAAATAAAAATATTATAGTGAATATGAACATTTTAATAACAATTTTAATTTTAATTCCCAAATGCCTAAGTATATAAACTTGGTTTTTCGTCCAATTGTTTCTTATCAAATACAGTCAACAAATATAAATTAATACAACGTATAATACATTTGTACAGTTACATATTGAAATTTAAGCTGAGATTCTATAAAAATAATTATTGATAGTTTTAAAATTTAAATTAAAAAAAAAAAAAAAAAAACAGTACTTGTTTGCGTTGAAATGAGTAGGTAATAGTTAAGTATATTATTGTACGTTTTCAATATCAATATCAATACCGATATTTCCATTGTCAATTTTCACTGATTACTTTTGTCATTATTTATAATATATGATTTTTTTGTACTATATTTTATATATAGGTCGAAGTTAAGTGTTTTCATTATTATTTAAAACAAAAAATAAACTCCTATTAGGTATATTGGTTGATAGAAGGTTATAATATTGAACTTTCCAAAAACAATTATTTATAGGAATTCCATTACTGTAGGTTTTTTTTTCTTTTTTGTTATAAAACTGTAAAATGAATCATAAATCAACTAAAAGTTTACTTTCAAAACTTTTTAAAAGTTAAAAAAATCAATGGCGTATTGCATTTTCTATCGGTCGTCAATATAACAGGTATATTACCAAATATATTAATATTTATTATGTGTAGGTAATATTTAAAACTGAAATGAACGATCGTAGTATAATACCTACATATATATTTTCTTAATTATTAAGAGTAGCTAAAATATTAATTGGTGAACAAATTATGTTATTAAATAACGATATTATAAGGTTTTTTGTTCAGGCACCTACTATAGTACTATACTCGTATAGTAGCTCTTGCTAATTGCTTTACTAACAATTTTAAATTATGTTTATTTTATCGTTGACTGAAGAAATATTTTGAAAGTCCATTAAATCTAGTGATACTAAAAATGTTTATACCTGTGATATTATTAAATAGTTAGTAAAATTAATTAAAAAAAAAAACTTTTAGTAACTCTCAAAAAATATGCAATATACACCATACGTCATCAATTTATTATAATTTATAAAATATATATGGCTTCTAACTTTGATAAATTATCACTGATCATAAACATTTGTATACGATTTGTAAGTATACGATGTATAAATTATAACTTTACATTTCTATACTTGCTCAGTTTTTTTTTTTATTGACTAATAAAAAATATACATTTTATAATATTTATTGTATTTTATACAGTACCTTGTATTTATAATAATAATAATAAAACAAATTAATGTAACAATATTTCATTCAATAATATCTATATTGTCATCAGATTCATCTGATGCTTTCCACAGTGTTTATATAAAATACTATAACAATAAGCATTGATAACACCGGGTTTATATTAGATTTAAAAAAAAGTCTAGTATACCGATATTTATAATATAAGATAGGGATTTAGATTATTTTCGAATTTAGATAATTTACCATGGATAGAGCCACGTAGACTATGCGGCCGGTACACTTTCGAAGGATATGAGTGCGGGGAAACTCCTTTTATTTGTCCCTAGCTTATCTGTGATGTATACGGTGAACACGACCACGAATTAGACATATAGGATACGCACCGAGAGTTTGTTATCAACAAACTATTATTTCTGAAAGTTCTTCGTCGAATAAACACAGAGCGCTAAAAACCAATCAGCATCAACAATTTTAACTAATCTAGTTATCAATTATTAGTTAGTAGTATTTTAGTTTTAATTATTTAAAATACTTAACTTATTATATTATAATATTATAAATTAATAAATTATGGCCATATGAAAAAAAATTGTATATCAAGTGATCAAATTTGTCAAATAATGCATGTTTATACTTTTTACCGAATTTATTATTTAATCCTCATGTTAAAATTATAATTTACAAAAACAACCATGAACAGTGAAAGTAGGATATACTCTAAATTAAAATTTACTAGAACGAGTATTATAATATTAATTCATGTAGTTCTTGTGTAGTTTATTCTTGTATGTTTAGTTGTATGATGTTGTATGATGAAAACAGTGAGTTTTTATTGAGGTAGCTACATAATTACACGTCATTCGAATATCTACTCGGTCGTCTATAAATAGAATTATGAAAAACACGTCTTCGACGATACAGGTCTATGACCGACGGATTCAAGAGGCCAGCGTTGGGTTTCGGGATTCATTCTGAGAATAGCTGATTATTATATACTATTAAGTTCGTACTTCGTTGTTTGAAAACTTGAGTTTAATTTATTAATATTATACATACATTATGATATAATTTATATCAATATATAAATTGCTCAATAGTCACTGGACAGTTTTTCGATGATGTAAAATAAAATTCCCGATAGACGGCGATAAGACAACCAAATTATTATAATTATTATTATTT